CCTTCCAAACAGAAATTGAATAACAATAGAGAAAAAATAATGAAATTGGTGTCCCGTTTTTTGGGTTTATAAGCTTTTGGCATAGAACATCCTATAACAATCTAAACTTATTCTCACAATGAAGCTAATAAAATTACATGAGAATGATTGAGAGAGTTTGGGACTTTAAATTTCACGGATAATCAAAAAGAACAACTAACCTTGAACAATAAACGATAGGGAGTAAACAAAAAATATTAAGAGTATAAGTTAATAACAACTAACCTTAGAACAAAAGATAACAATGAATTGTAGAGAAGATGAAGTTGACGGAAGAACCGGAGACTGTGACAGTGGCGTCGGCGAGGAGCTGCGGCGGCGGATCGAGAGGTCTGCGGCACCGGCGGTGAGGAGATCTGCTTGGAGCTGCGGCGGCCGGCATCAACGAAGAATGTGGCAGCAGTAGCGGAGAGGAGATGCGGCTGCGTCGACGATTACCTGCGGTTGTGGTGCTAAGACATCGGCTGAAAGCTGCTGAGAGGGGGCTGGATTTTGGGAGGGTTTGAAGTGTGTTGACGGAATGAGGGGAAGAGGGAAATAGGTGTGAAAAATTGTTGGGAGGCGGGCAGGATAATGGGTATTTGCTGCGGTTCACAAATGACCGTAGCAAATAGGCGTGAAAAATCAATATATCTGCTGCGGTTCCCCGTACCCGCAGCACAAAAGAAAAAAAAAATTGGGTTTAATGCACCAAACCCCCCTGTGATTTGGAAATTCGGCGCATTAGCCCTATGTGATTTAAAAAATGCGTCAAACCCCCCTGTGTTTTAATTAATCATGCACAGAACCCCCTTTATGAATAAATTTAACGATTTGAAAATCACTTTTCCTAATATTTTGATTGAATATGCAAATAAATATGTCAAAATCTCTGAATCATACAAAAATGTTAATCATTTTTCTTTTATTTGACAATTGAATTTGTTCACATAAAGGATTTGGCGCATGATTAATTAAAACACAGGGGGGTTTGACGCATTTTTTAAATCACAGGGGGCTAATGCGCCGAATTTCCAAATCACAGGGGGTTTGGTGCTTTAAACCCAAAAAAAATTAAAATTCAAAAATTTATAAGTATTTGCTGCGGTTCCAACACGACCGCAGCAAAAAAGTATCAAATTTTCTAACTTTTTGCTGCGGTCGTTGTTGAACCGCAGCAAATACTTATAAATTTTGTCTATTTGCTGCGTTTTTACTAAAAACCGCAGCAAATGGGTAGCACCAAATAAGAAAAATTCTAGTAGTGTATATAGGGAGAGGTTCTAATGAGAACACTCCTTATTGTAAGAAGTGAGAACAAATCCCAGTTGTTAATTAAGAGAATCAAACGGTTAAGTAATTGGTTGGTGCACGATTAATTCGTGCATAGCGACACACAAAAATACATTTGGAAAAATAACATCACAGTATGTGGCTTGCACAAAGGGTGAAATTGTCAATCTTTTAGCAATCCTTTAATGTTGGAACGGTTAGAGCCTTAGAGGCTATCAACTACCTAAAAATTAGGAAAATATAAAAGGTCAAATCATATAAAATATTTTAGTTTAAAAATTGATTTAACTTTTTAAATTATAATCTGATTGATTTTAACAAAAACTATATCAAATTAAACAAATTTTTATGGTCTTTCATGACACCAATATGTCATATATAATTTTGTTTTAAAAAATAAGTATAATATGTGTACAATAAATTACAACAAACATTATCTGCAATTACCCCATGCACGAGAATATGTATCTAACACACAATCAATAATATCTAATGCACAAGAAACAATATCTAACACACAATATGTATAAGAAAAACACATCAACCCTTTCTCACGTGCCCTGCACTCGAACCTCAATTTTCCATTTGCTTTTGGCTCTTCCTAACATGAGTAATCTTCCAGTGGTCATTCTTCTTAAATATCTTCTGTGGATTAGTTATCTTCAATCATACACACACAAAATTGGAATATGTATGTACAAGCAGGTACTCTGTATGTTATACTACTATAATTAGTTGAATGATGTATTGAACTATAATTAAGAATAAGTTATGGTAGTATGTTTGTTTACAGTTATTTTTACAGTTAAAATAAGAGGATTATACTATTTTTAGGAACCGAACCGTTTAGATTTGATTCGGTTCCTTAACGGTTCTACAATTTTTTCATAAGAACCGAACCGGTTAGATGCGTTGAACATTTATAAACGGTTCCTCCATTAAGAACCGAACCGATCCCAGGCCTATCTCCGCCTCTACAAGCAGATGTTCCGCCTCTATCTTCCATACCATCGTCGCATACTAGGTTGCCACCTCCGGTGTGGCTCGCGTTGAAATCACCTTCTTCATCTTCTTCTTCAAGTCCGCGTGGAATTTGCTCGAAGCCATGGTCGGACTCCGTCGCTCGGTGGTTTCGACCGTCTTCAGGTCAACGATGACAAGGAAACAACCGGTCTCGGAGGAGGGAGGTGTCTAGGTTAGCAGATCTGGCCGGACAAAAACAGATCTGAGTGATTGGAGGTCACTGGCGCAGGTGGCGGTCGTTGTGGTGGTCGGCGTCATCACTGGTGGCAGCAGTGACCGATCAGGGTGGTGGCAGTGTGACGGGAGAGAGCTAGGATGGTGGCTGGGTGCTGGGTGTTGGGGAGATGGTTAGGGCTGGGAGTTAGGTGTGGCAGTGGTCGGAGGTAATGGCCGCCGGTGGTGGCGGGCGATGGTGGCGGTCACTATCCAATTGGGCACATATAATCGGTTGGGTCGGATATCTCTAACCGCCGGGTAATTGTAACTCATCGAATTGGGTAACTGGAATTGATCGAGTTGGGTAATTGTAACTGACGGATCATGTAACTGTAAATGAGTAACTGTAACATGTAGTTTGGATAAGTGAGTGACGGTAACTGACGAATCGCGTAATTGTAACTGGCGAGTCATGTAACTGTAACTGACGAATTGGATAATTGTAATTGGCATAACTGTAACTGGTGAATCGGATAATTGTAACTAACGGTAACTGACGAATCACGTAATTGTAACTAGCGAGTCATGTATTGTAACTGTAACTGAGGAATTGGATCATTGTAACTGGCGTGGCGTAACTGTAACTGGTGAATCGGATAATTGTAACTGACGGATCATATAAGTGTAACTGGAGACATGTAACTATAATTGGTCAGCCTGGTAACTGGAATTTATTGGGTAACAATAATTGTAGCTCATAAGATCAAATAATTATACTTGTAGCTCATAAGATCAAATAATTATACTTGTAGCTCATAAGATCAAATAATTATAAATGGGCACTGAATGAATTCTAATTGGAGGAAAGGATATGAAAGTCAATTTTTTGCATGCACTGGGAAGACTAGCAAGAGTGAAACGTGGCCACATGGACATGAATTACTCGCATACGGAGTACGTATTAGGATAACTGGAGACATGTAACTATAATTGGTCAGCCTGGTAACTGGAATTTATTGGGTAACAATAATTGTAGCTCATAAGATCAAATAATTATAATTGTAGCTCATAAGATCAAATAATTATAAATGGGCACTGAATGAATTCTAATTGGAGGAAAGGATATGAAAGTCAATTTTTTAAAAAAGTTGACTACGGAGTGAAACGTGGCCACATGGACATGAATTGCTCGCATACGGAGTACGTATTAGGGTCTGTTTGCAACTGTTTCTGCTTTTAAAAAAGTGTTTTTTTAATGAAATGAGGAGAAGTGATTAAATAAAAGTTGATAGTGTTTGAGAATAAAGTGATTTTGAAAAGTAAAAGTGGGTAGTGTTTGGTAAAAGAAGTGTTTTTTGTGTAATAGAAAAAGTAAAAGCACTTTTGACGCGGAAGCCGAGAAAAATAAAAGTTGTAGTGTTTGGGAAAATAAGTGCTTTTTTAAAGCCAAAAGCTGAGAAGTGCTTTTTTAAAAGGAGTTGCAAACCAACCCTTAATTTATTAGGGAGGGGGGCTGGGGGGGCATATTTGATAATTCCATTCCAGTTTTGCTAACAGACCATGCGTATGGTCTCATATTTGGAATTCATTGAAAGAGGTCCTATATTTGTCTAAACATTTTTAATTAGTAATATTCATGACCTAACCCCTTTAAAATACGTCATTCCTTCATTTTTTGAATTTTAAATGCGGTTCCGATGAAGAAAGCGCTGAGCACGCGTTGCGCAGCTGCCCCAAAGCCGAGGCTGCCTCGCAGTTTGCGGGTATACAAACCGAGACACAGGTGAAGGATTTTGAGAGCTGGCTGCGAGACAGTATTGCACAGGAAAATAGGAAGTTAGGTAGTAGATTTGTGGCTGTTTTGTGGAGTTTGTGGAAGAGAAGGAATGGAGTTGTTTGGAAGGATAAAGTGGAGGAGGCCGAGACAGTGATTCGAGTGGCGGATAACATGCTGGGAGCTTGGTAGGAAATACATGGCAGGAAAGACTCTAGCAATAAGCTATCGGAAGGGGAAGAGTTGAGACGATGGGCGAGACGGAGTCAAGGAGGCATCAAGATCAATGTTGATGCCGCAGTAAATCATCAAGGAGGAATTAGAGCTTGGGGATGGGTGACTCGAGATGAAAGTGATTCCTTCTTGAAGGGCCGTGGGGTGAGTCACAAAGCAGGGTGGTCGGCTAAGGAGACGGAGGCTATGGGAGTTCGGGATGCTATTTGGGGGCTATTGATGCAGGCTGGCAGCGAGTAGAGATAGAGACCGATGCTCTCACGGTGGTTCAGAGTCTACAAAAGAAAGAGGGATTATTCTATGCTCATCTTATTATTAATGATATTCGTAGTCTGATAGAAACAAAGAGTTCTTATAAAATCTCTTTTTGTAGAAGGTCTGCGAATCGTGTGGCTCATGCTCTGGCAAAGTCACATGTTCACATCTCAGATCAGTCCGTTGACTATTTACAGGTTCCGAGTTGTATTTCTAGGCATCTGGCTAATGATTTATTGAATTAATGAGTATGCTTTTGACGAAAAAAAATAGAACCTCATGACAGAGGCCCTTCAAAAACAGGAAATCATACTTCGCGAAACGGCAAAACCCCAGACTGAAAATCTCCAAAACCCTAGAAAGCTCATTTCAGTTCGTCAGCAATGGCTACTCGGCGTTGCCTTCGAAATTTATTACGGCAATCCCCTTCCTTGATTGTCTTCTCGAATCCGTTTCTCAAGTCTCTGAAAATTCTAAACCCAGTTTTCTTAAATTCTCTTAGAGCTCTAACCTCTTCTCAAGATTCTCTCCACATTTCAACAAAGTTACACTCCCAATACTCATTTCTATCTCGGAACTTCTGTTCCAAGAACACAAATGGAAATGATGATGGATCTGGTGATGAAAGCGAAGAAGCAACTGACGATTATAGTGACGACGAGGAGGACAATGAGAATGTCCTGGAAGCGGATAGTAGGCCGAAGAGTCCAGAGGATAAGATAAAAGAGGCAGCTGACATTGGATATGAGGTGATCGGGCCACTTCAGAAATCCGACCGAGTTTTCAAACCTTATGAGCCAGTCTTTGCTGTGGTTCAGGTTTGAATTATTAGCACATTGTGTATATTTATGCGCACACACATGTATATTAGTGTTTTTTCCTGTTATCTGGCTTGTATTGTTAGATTGGATCGCACCAATTCAAAGTTAGCAACGGGGATAGCATTTTTGTGGAAAGATTGAAGTACTGTGATGTCAATGATAAGGTAAGATGCATACTTGTGTTTCTTTTACGCTATCAACAGATTATGTACGTTATAATTGTGTAACTGATTGCATATGTCGCTATTCTCTGTTTTTAGATTCAATCATCATTTCAATCATCATTTACCCCAGTGCCGCAAAGGCTCCCACCTATGGTGGGGTAAGGGGGGGTCGGATGTACGCAGTCTTACCCCTATACTAAAGCGCAGAGAGATTGTTTCCGTATGACCCATAATGAAAATCGCGTCCAAAAATTGCATTGACTGACTGCTGCTTCATAACAAAGAAGCGCAGACAGTTTGGTGAGCCATTTTGCACAGAAAACATGTAGGGTCCTTGAAGAGTTGAATATAATACTATAGAATAGGGATTCAACCAAAGGTTCTGTCGAAAGAGAAACTGAATTCATTCTCACTTCAAGATATGTTTTAGCTTTCTGTTTTTATTAGTATGATCATTTGGATGAGTTGGATACTTCCTCAATTCGTGCATCATTTGTCTGCAATAATATGACATAACCGACCTTTACAATGTTAAGAGCCACGGAATATTTAAATCGTGGTTTGATATTCTGTATATGTCTTTGTTTCAGCCTGTTCTAAACTTGTAATCTTCTAACATCTACTGATCATGGTAAGAACTACGAAGATTTCAGATCTGTTAATCTAAGTAGTAAAAATTTGAAATCTTTATATTAATGTTCCACTTGCCTTGGTTAAAAAGGGTTGTCTACCTCACAATGCCCAAAGGAACATAAATGCGTAAAAAGGTCCTATGTTACATTTCCAAATTTAAAATTTGAACCTTTTAATTTCTCACCACAAAGGAATTATCTTTGATGGAAGAAGTAAAAATATGAGCAGAAGTTTCCTATCCCAGGAACATTAAAGGGTAAAATAGTCATACGTTACTTTTCCAAATTCAAACTTTGAACCTGCTTATTTCTCACCACAAAGGAATTATCTTTGTAGGAAGAAGTAAAAATATGAGCAGAAGTTTCCTATCCCAGGAACATTAAAGGGTAAAAAGGTCATATGTTAGTTTTCAAAATTCAATCCATGAACCTGTTTATTTCTCACTATAATTGAATTACCATTGTAGGAAGAACTAAAAATATAAGTAGAAGTTTCCTATTGTTTCATCCCCCTGCCCGTAACGAATAGGTTTCTATTAAAATTGATCATATCTGTTATATATTTGATTCAGTTAATATTGAGCAAGGTTATGATGTTGGGCTCCAAGACACAGACAATTATAGGGCGGCCTATATTACCTGATGCAGCTGTTCATGCTGTTGTGGAGGAGCATGTAAGATAATTTTATTATTTTGTACTTTTCTTTAGGACAATATGTTGTATGAGGTTAGCCATTCTATAAATACTTCTTGTACCTCTTCTGGTCTAAATATGTTTTAAGTAGCTTTTAGTTTTGACTGAAACAGATGTTTTAACAGTTCAAATTCCCATATCTTTCAGAAATCTCAGCCTATTTAGCCATTTACCAAAAAGAACTCTTACAAAATGGTACCTTTATGTTTAATATGATTATCCATGTGAAATTTGCAACTGTTTTGTACGGTTAAATGACATATTACATAAGCAGGATACATAGGAATTCATTTTACTTCTTGTTTGGTTGGGGTAAATACAAAACATAAATGTGAGGGAGAAACTAAGGAATAAGTGAGAAGACTTCTTGTTTGGTTGGGGTAAATACAAAACAGAAATGTGAGGGAGAAACTAAGGAATAAATGAGAAGCTTCTCTTGTTTGGTAACCACAGAAGTTGAGGGGGAGAAATTTAAATAGCGGATCTCGCCACTTTTTTTTAATCTATTCTCTTACGAGGTGCAAATAGGAGAGTAATATGATTCATCTCTTTCTAACCCTTTTCTCTCTTCTCTATTACTTTCCTAATGAAAACAAACGCTTAGATTTCTACTATTCTCACTGTCTCACACGTACATAACCAGTTTTTCATTTTTCATTCAGGCATTGGACGCGAAAGTGATCATATTTAAGAAAAAAAGACGAAAGAATTATCGACGAACACGGGGGCATCGACAGGTTGGTAACTTGCAATGCCATTAAATGCTCGCTACTTATTGGTTGCTCCGTAACCATATATGTCTGTTGTTCCCCCTTCTCCATTTCTCATCTGCTGTCAATACAGCCTACCCATATGTAATTAGTACTACGTATTGTTTATTTGTTTCTGAAAATATGTTTCCTTTTTCTTTCAAAGGAATTAACAAAGTTGAGGATAACGGATATACAAGGGATTGAAAAACCAGAAGTGATAGAAGAAGGAAAAGGGAGTGGTTCTAAAACTGCTAACACGGTTTCACTAGCTGTTGCATAGTATGCTACAAATCTCATCTGTCTTGTTACAAAATTTGCTCATAATTTCCGTTGAGCATCTTTTGCCAGTGTACATCTCGGTTTTTCGTTTGAGGTGATAAGCTCAGAGTAAAGAAGTCATTTTCATCAGTCATGAGGATTTGTATTGTTAGCTGTCGTAACCATGCTTCATTTTTGCAAGATATATGATCATTTACTAGTGAAGCACAAATTTGTTTGTTAATCTTCTTGCGGGGATGCCTGCACGCAATTCAGCAACAAGAAAAGAATGAAAAATGGGTATTGTATTTAGTTAATTACTTCACTTCACTTGGTTTTTAAACAGCATGTTGCATCGTTGTGATATTATCTAGAGCATAGGACCTTCCACTTTTCCATGATCCAATTCCAATGCTACAAAGAGTTGAGCACATTCCAGTCCAGACCAAAGAACCAAACCGGACGGGTCAGTCCAGGCCTGACACGACTATTTACACACCCTTCAAGTATTTGATCCAATTAAAGCTTGTGGTTCCTGTCTGGTCTGGTTTGACCGGTTGTTTACCGGCAAAAAATGAAATTTGAAACTTTTTTTGCCGGTTCGAGGTGCGAATTGGACCTTTTTTAGTTACATGACCGGTACAAGGGTCTATTTGACCCTTTAACCTTTTTAATATGAAATACGGAGTATATCTGTATTCTCCTTTGCCAGTAGGCCTGGACTCGGGCCGGTTCGGGCCTGGGCCCGGCCGGGCCTCGGGCCAGGAAAGGGGAGGCCGGTTCCGGTTCCGGTTCCGGGCCAAACCGGCCCAATTTTTTTGTTTTTTGTTCTCCTATTTAATCCCCTACCCCTCCCCCTCAACCCCAAACCATCCCAAACCACCTCAAATGGCCCAAAATACCTATTTCAACCCAAGATTTAAAAAATTTTTCAAAAAAAAAAAAAAAATTAAAATCCGGCCCGGACCGGGCCCGAACCGGCTGGGCCGGTTCACCATATAGAAGGCCCGGGCCCGGAACCGGGAACCACCGGGCCGGTTCGACCCGAACCGCCGGTGGACCGGGCCACCGGGCCGGGCCAGTTGCTACAGTGGCCGGGCCGGGCCGGTTCCGGGTCGGGCCGCCCGGCCCGAGTCCAGGCCTATTTGCCAGATTTCATGTCGTGGTATGGTGGAACCATTTCTTTCATTTTTTTAAATGTAAATGGCAGTTATAGTAAAATTAAGAGAAACCTCAAGTATACAATGAATAGATACTTCAATTCTAATCATAAAAAAACAAATTGCAAGCCTATAATGAGTTAATGATTGAAGTATTGTTTGTCTCCAATTAGTCATGGACCCGGGCCTAGGCCCGGTCGGGCCTCGGGTTTTTTGAAGGAGGCCCAGGACCGGGTCGGGCCACCCGTCGGGCCGTGCCGGGTCATGTTAATTTTTTTTAAATTATAGTTTATACAAATTCTTATTAAAAACAAAGTTCAAGTGTATTTATTTGAGATAGGAACTACATTTGAGAATTGAGAAAAAAATACAATATGAAATACATTTTCTAATAAGTATCAATTAGAATTTCCGCTACCGTTGGTTGTTGTTTTGTCTTTGTCACAGGCTTCATATGTTTTATGGGCATCCTGTATCCGTGTGAACGTCCCAAGCTACACTCTTTGTTGCACCACTTAGAAGTTGCCCACCACAGCCCGGTCTTCGGGTCCTTCCACATATCAAAATTGTTTTGCATAAGGGAAGACTTACTTTCCATCTTTAAAATGGTAGATGTATAAGTAGGAATGTAGGATAATAAGAGAAGATGAAGATGGAAAAGAGTTGGAGAAGAGGTGTAGAAAAATGTTACAAAATAGATATATTTATAGAATTTTTTGAACCCCACACCACCACCCCTGGGACCCCCCTAGATGTGCATCATTGTATGAGAAATTACCAAAAGGTTGAGAATTCGCAAATCTTGATATTTGAGTTTGCTTCCCCGTTCCGCCGCCTAATTTTGCATACTCCACGGGGTGCTTTGCCTTAAGATGCCTTGCGGTGGATCCGTATCCGCCGGAGGTCCCCAAGCTATAATTTTTCTTGCACCACTTGCAAGTTGCGTGCACAAACCCGGTTTGTGTGTCCTTTCACTTATCAAAATTATTTTGCATTAGTTCAGATTTACTTTTTTTCTTGCCTGGTTGGGATGAGGTGGGCTCGTCCGCCTCGTCCTGGTTGCCATCACCATCGCCCGTCTCCGGTTCAAGTTCATCCGCATCGTCATCCTCGAGCTCATCTTCGTCAATGGTCGTCGGGATTTGTTGTTGTTGGACAAAGCGATTATTATGTCGGGCCAATTCTTGTTGTAGTTGTTCTTCGGACATCGCATCACCATCCCTCCTTTGGTAACCCGTTTCAAAATCATCTCGGATTTGAGATGAAGAGCCGGCAAGTTCTTTACCTTTGCGAGATTTCTTCCTCCCAATCTCGTTCCTTCGGTTGCGTTCGATGTTACCCATATCAACCGAATATCTACCACCTTCCATCTTAAAAATGTAGCAAATATTAATTTGCAACAAATATAGTAATGAATACAAAAGTAATGCAACTAATTAAAACTATTTTAATTAGTACTTCAAACTAATTTAGTGAAAACTACTTTAATAAAATGTGAAGTACTTTAATTAAGTAATGAATTAAAGTGTGACTCTAAAATAAAAATTGAAAATCGAACTAATCAATAGTATTTTTTAATAAATACTTAAAAGTAACAAGTGTGACTTTAACTAAAATGTGAGTAATTAAATTATAGCAACTTTTCAAGTACTTTAATTTATTGAAAACTACTTTAATAAAATGTTAAGTACTTTAATAAAATTAACTAGTTTAATCAAAAATGTAACAATTAGTGGGAATACTAATTAACTAATCAAGTAATGTTAATACAAAATGTAAGTAATAAGACAAATGTATGAATGTGTATACTAATTAATGGGAGTAAATGAGTAATAGAATGATTTTAACTAATACTAATTAAAGTGTAACTAATATATAATATATTGTTTATAGTATATAATATATAAGTATACTACTATAAGATGAGTAATACACTTATATTTTATACTTTAATGTATAAAGTATATATGAAGTAGATGTGGAATGTATGTATTAAGTAGATATAAGTAGATAATAAGTAGAGATTAAGTAGATAAGAAATATAAGTAATATAGTATATGTATTTATAAGTAGATAATTAATATATAAGTAGATATAATAATTGTATAAGAATTAAATAGTAAAATATAATGGAGATTGGAGAATAAGAAAATAAGTAGATAAGAAATATAAGTAGAGAAGTAGATAATATTATGTATTAAGTATATAGTAATAGTTTATAAAGTATATTTAATACTTTAATATATAAAGTATTAAATATACTTTAATAAGTATTAAGTATATTAAGTAGATGTAGTATGTATGTAATAAGTAGATATAAGTAGATAATAAGTAGAGATTAAGTAGATAAGAAATATAAGTAATATAGTATATGTATTTATAAGTAGATAATTAATATATAAGTAGATATAATAATTGTATAAGTATTAAATAGTAAAATAAAATATAATGGAGAATAAGAGAATTTGAGAAGATGAATATGGAGATGAGTAGAGAGTAGAGAGTAGGATTTAGGAAGAGTTGGAGAAGAGGTGTGAAAAAATGTTTAAAATTAGGAGTATTTATGAAGAATAGCGTTGCAAGGGACAGAAAGAGGGTTTAGACGAAAAGAGATGACGAGATGAACAAGGAAGAGAAAGTATTGACAGTTCGCGTCCCTTCTGAATCACCACCTTCGAGTGGCCACGGAACCAAGGATCCGAGGTCGACGTTTCACTGTTGGATTTGGTCGCATGCACGCTTGTGCTCTATTCTTCGTTTAAGTTTTATTTTTTGGTATGTCGTACTTTTTTATTCGGTTAATAATTTTGAGTTGTGAGTGCTTTTTGTGTGAGAATGAGTAGAAGCAATCAAGCTAATCTGGCTGATAATAGCTTTGAATCTCTCGCATGTTCAACGATTAATCTTGCTCAGTATTGGGCAGTCTATTCTATCTTTGAGAGCCTATAAGAGGGTAAGTTGGATGTTAGGATGTTTGGTTCAATGAGTTTAATATAAACATTTTCCTTTTAAAAAAATAATTATCACAATTTTACTCACCCAATTATTCCAAATAAAAACTCCAAACACCCAATAGAAATAAAGACTCGATCTATACCAATTAATAAGGGGAACAATAAAGAAAATCATGCGAAAATAAAATTTGGGACTTCAAACTCCCATGCGGGCCGGAGTAATGGGATAGTTTTCTCTCTCTAGGGTTGCCGCTTGACCGCTAGAGTAGTTCTCCTTTTTTCCGTTTTCGTCGAGGACGAAGAACGGCCTTCCCAGACAGAAGACCGAGGTTCGCACGTAGTTTTCTGCAGACGACGACTATTGGCAGAGGTCGAAGGCGAGGTTTCACGCGAGGTCCGAGTTTCATCATAGGCCTTGCACAAAGATTAGGTGCAAGATGAAAAATGGGCTAAACCTCAATAAACTTGTTTCAGAATTTTTATATACTTATTGTATATTTGCATTTGTTTATATCTATAGGCATAGTGCTATAGTCTATATCACCCCCTATATCGTGTTTGGATCTGATTCTGCTTCTGTTTTAAAAAAGATGCAAAAGCATAATCAGTTCCAAACACCCCTATATTGTGACTAAGAATTTACATATATCCAACTTTAAAATACCCTAAGAAAATTACATCATTATTAGTCAATCTCTGGGGTCTAAACATACCCAAAGAGAACTATGCAGGGAATTCTCATTGTCAGCATCTAAAAGCAAACACCAATCCCCAACCTGCCACTTGGCATCAGAAAAACATGACAGCAAGGTCAAAATTTTTGAAACCTGCAAATGTGGAGGAGTAGATGCCTTCTCACGTCCATTTGTCACACAACCAATCTAACTAACATACACAACCCCGACATCCAAAGAGCAAACAGTCCCTGTATATCTTTTATCATTTCTGACATCACACAACTTTTGGAGGAACTGGTCGGGTATGAATCTTCACTCTGCCCGGGATAAAACGAATAGTGTGGATCTTCAAGCAAGTCTGGAGAAATGGGCGTGATGATCTCATGTCCCGTTGTGGTGAATTCAGATATAAAACTGTCATCAAACAGAACGGTTATTCGATCAATCACTTTTTCAACTTTTCCAAGCCACAGCCCACACATTACATAATCCCCAACCATAATTGAATGCATTTTTTGGATTTTCTTGGAGTGGACTGTGGACACCTCGTATTTCAGTTCCGAAAATGTCCTCCACGTCGACTACCATATCAACATTGACCACTCTACCGGTCTGCCCGGATGGTTCATCCTTTACTAAGCAAACCAAGTCTCCTTCTATAAACACCCTTTCAAAGGATAAGAAATCGTCTATTCTTCCAAGAGTATCTTCAAGACTAGATAGAATAGAACAAGCTTTTCCACCATAATCTTTCAATGTCGCTTATGTCCAAATCCATATTTTGAAAGCTAAAAGATTATATCCTGCGATTTTTAATACCATGTAACATATTTGTCAATGAAACAAAAAAAAATGTCACTGAAAGATACCAAATGAGAACCAAATATAATAAAACTTTAGTTTTTCTAGCATATACTTCCTCCATTTTCTTAGTTGATCCAAATTCCTAGTTTGGAAAATTTGATCATATCACATCTCATAAAAGCCTTACTTTTCCATCTTTCTTTTCTTGTTTTTCCTACTTCTTCTACCATAGTACTACTCACTACTCCTACAATTTTGCTCTTCAGAACCTTGAAACTAGTAGACCGACTAATAAAAAACGAAGGGAGCATATAGTTTTCAAGCCTTTTTTAATAGAAATGCTTTACAAAATGAGTATGAACATTTGTTCTTAAGTTGGAATCAATTTATTATTCCCCCCCGTATTTTCTTTCCTTCAAATTTTCTTTCTATATTCCTCCTTATTTTCATTCCCTGGCATTTTCCAGAACCCAGACTCTTATGGAGAAGAACATATATCAACCATGTCATCTCCGTTGATATTTTAAGAAATCAGAATTACTTTGACAAATGGATGAAAAGGAAGATACATACCGCACTGTAAACTTGTGATCCTTGCCTTTTGATCAAGTATTAGAGTTCCAGAATCAATTGATTGAACTCAACACAAATAAACTGCTAAACCGAGAAGATGATATATTATATGGTTATATTTAAATAATCTGTTTATGATCAATCTGATCCTATGAAACAGAGATAAATTGCCAAAGGAAAATTGCCCAACAAATTTGACAGCCGAAGAACTTTCCAACAGCTTATTCAAGTCCACGATCTGCCAAACGAGATATATTCGCGGATTTAAGGTCTCAATAACTCAGAAAAGTTAGATATCCATTGCTTGAAGTTTTCTAAATGGAATTAAGATTTCGATTTCTGAGGCTCCATAATTATCAACCCAAAACTAACTTCAATCTAGAGACAACCTGTAGCTTAAAGCTGAAATTTCAGAATTCAGAATAATGAAATTCTCTTTCCCAGAATTTCCTTGCTACGTACAGTATATTTCATAAACAGAGGGGTGGTCCATACTGTCCATAAGCTACCCACTGACAAGTTGAAATTCCGAAAGCTTATCATTGTGGCAGATTTTACTTGGTTACAAACGAGGAATGTAGACACGTGCTAACCCATTTTTCATAAGAAGTTTTTTAACTTCTGGTACTATGTTGCCTGATTCCCACTTTAGAACCAGCACTCATTGCTACCACCTCCACTGGCCAATGTTCCCACTTATGATAATGCACAACAAAGATTTCTTGTCTCTGATTGGTCCTTAAGGGTCCGTTTGAACACCGAATTCATTACTCTAATGTCTTCCACCAACAATCCTTTAGAAGATAGGCTCGAGCTATCATGGATATCTGAAAACGCCAAAAGTGAATCTAACTCTATCGGCACGAAATCCTAGTCCCAGGCCATAAGACTGGTCACAAATTGAGGCATCCACAATTACCTTCTTCCACCACATTGTCAGATGATACCAGCTCGCACTACCCACCATTGACGACCTCCCCTTCCTGCTACCACTCATTGAGAGGAACTCCAACTTTCACAGTCTAGCCTTGCCATACTCGCCAATTATGCTCAAACAAAAACCCAAACTACCTGTAGATCTTCTCCCATGTTAGCTCGAAAGATCCCTTGAAGCCGTTAAGTTTATCAAAACTATTCTCCAACATTTAACGTTGTTGCAATTAGTCAATTACTTTGACAGGTTCATGAAGTAATCTTCCAAATCATATTTTCATTTAGTACTGTTTCGAGACTAAATATTGCCAACAATCATAAACCTATATTTTGTTGTGATACCGCTTTTTTGTTTTATTACAAGTTTGATTAACATTACTAGCATGTAAAGTTTTTCTTAGCAAATCCATGGACATATAATAAGAATCAGTAAAATCAATTTAGGGATATGGTACTTTATATTTAGAATTTAATACTCACAAGTTTTTGTAAATTGTTCTTGATAATGTTGATAGTGTAGTAGAAAAAGTAATTTTGAATCACCCCGGTGGCCCGGTCTTTGTGAGCAGCTAATTTCACTTCACCCCACCAGTCATAGACTCGGGTCAGGCCACCTGGCCCGGAACCAGCCCAGAACCGATACTGTTTGGGCACGGCCCAGTACCCAGTTATAACACCAGTCTGGGCCACCCGAACCCAGAATTAATCGGGCCAGGCTCGGGCCTCCTAAAAGTGGAACCGGCCCGGCCTATTTTTTTTTTTTTTGAGTTTTTTCAATTTTTTTGATTTCTCCTGGGTTGGTCTGGGTGTTTTGGGGGGGTTTGGGGGGTGGGGGTGAGGGGTGAGGGGTGAGGGGTTAACTAGACCAAAAAAAAGCCCGGCCGGGCAGGGCCCGGAAACGGCCTGGGCCCACAACTACACCTCACATAATGGGTCAACTACTTGTCCAGGTATAGGATAAGAATATGAAAACCAACTCAATTCAATGTAACGAACTGGCCCTTAATAGGGGTTTAAGGTTTAACCCAATTGTGAATTGTGAGGATCAAGGTGACAGGGAAACACACTTTCTTAATTAAATATTACAAACTGGATATACAAGCCATTTAATACCGAAACAAGTATTATGGAGTGTGAAGAAAGAGAAACAGCACCAAAGATTTCAATCTAAATATAAATAATAGCAGTATCAAGTCTCAACTGTTTAACAAAATCTCCAAAACTTCAAACATCAAAACTAGGTAACAAACCAAAAAGTCTAAAAAAGAAAGGGTACATTAATGCAAAGTGGCTTAAGCAGCAGCAACAGATGGCTTAGAAGTAATAGAGAGCTTGGACCTCTTCTTGGCCACACTCTGACTGCGCCTCTCCCTTTGCTCCTTCAGCCTACTCGCAAGCAACTTCTGGTATTCCTGAGCCTCTGTCTTAGCCTTGGCAATCCTTTGCTTCTTCTGAGCAATTCTGGCCCTCTTCCTCTGGAGGGTCAATGGAGTCACCAGCCTCTGTATTTTAGGAGCCTTGCTAACCTCCTTCCCTGTCATCATTACAGGGTCAAACAATCAGTTACAGATTAAACTTGAGCCTCACAAGAACCTCAGTTTTAGCCATACAAAACGCCTTGACCACTTGCTGCTTCAGCCTCAGTTTATTAATAAAAGGCTTAAGCACCAAGACTTTTCAAACCACCTCAAACGAAGTCATGGGAACAACATCACATTTTGAATCTAGAATCCAGAATTCAGAGCAAATTAATATCAAATAAAAGCTGAAAGTATAAATATTAATGATACGAAGTATTACCCTTTTTATTAGTAAATGTCCTGCGGTACGTGTTGACATACTTCCTGACATCATCCTCCTTGGACAGGTTGAACAGCTTCCTAATCTTTGAAGCTCTTTTAGGACCCCTCATCCTTGGCTTCTCAACATCGGTCAGCCCAGGAAGGTCATTTTCACCCTTCTTCACAATGACCAAATTCAGAACTGAAAGGTAAGGACTGACAATGCACCCACGTACTGATTTTCTTCTCCTCTCACCATCACGCCTTCCATAACCCCGGAAACACGGAGTACCTGCTCATTCTTAATAATGTTAACTGCCAATACAGATTATCAATAAATAAATAAATAAATAAATAAATAAGCTTTCTCAATATGAGATGAATTGTCCAAATACCTCTAGGCAGTAAAAGGCGGACACGGTTTGGAGTCAAGACTCCTTGCTTCATTGGAAATCCTTGTTTGTCGCATCCACCCATGATCTTGAATACATACCCCTTAAACTCCTGCCAATATTAAGAAAAATATTTCATTTAAGAACAGATTCTTTATCTTTACACAACAAACGGAATAGTAGATTGGTGCAGTGTGGCAATACCTCTCCCAAAGCATCACCGCTGACTTCTTGAGAGATTCTCTTGTCATAAAAGGCACGACTGCATTATTGAGATATTAAACTTTCATAAGTTAGTGATTGAATAAAATTACATCTGGCATTAGCCGCATTACACTAATGTGCCAAGTAGACTATAGAAAAACTACGGGTTGTACATGATGAAATTCACTAAACAAATGCAGACTTCAGATTATGGAGCTTATGAACTCTCCATTAGTGGTAGGGCAGAAGAAAACAACAAACAATGAAGCCATACATGTACGACTCAGCTAAATATTTAGTCATCTATATGTGTGGTTTTCCAAAAATACAGGATCAGTACTTTTATTATTACCGAACATATTATTCAAGGTACACAGCTACTAAAAATGGTAGAACAGATAATTTACACACATGGAGAGAACTTGAACATGTTATTTTATCAATTTCTAGGAAGGAATACGTATTTTTAATTAATGAACAATAATAACAATATAGCAAATCACAACCAACTCTGAGAAGAATGTGGCGATAAGTGATAACAAGCTGTGAAAGTTATTATGGAAACAAGTGAGATATGCACATTCATCAATAGATCAATTCCAGAACACAGAATCACAAAATGTAAAGCTTTTAAATATAAATCAGCAAAATTTAGACATGCAACATGACAATGAGAAAATAACGTGATATTATGTATGAGGATGGATCTAGGGCATGTAAAATAAGATGATGGAATATGTATCACATGCCAATATCCAATCGAAATTTATTGAAATGAGGCTAGGCATACAGTTTCTGTTCATCGTCAATCTCGAGCTTCTTCTGGCAACCCGTAGTCGGATTTGCAATGTTGAACTACATAACAGCAACAAGAAACAGAGTGAGAATAATTCGATTGCGAACACTAAAAATTCAAATCTGTGAAAAGTGGGATACCTTCATCCTCGCTGGAAAAGAGAAGTGGCTGCTATGAAGATAATCTTCTCAGATGGTCTGCGCTCACTCCCGGCTTCTCCTGCGTTAGGGTTTCGTTATCTTCTACGGAGTATTATACCAAGGGCATTACTACACGCACCTCCTCAATTACTATGCGCACCCCTTTTTGACAAAATTGCCCCTAGTTTAGTATTGTTATAATAATCCATCTGCTTTGTATACGACGCTTGAATCAATGCAATACTACGTACGGAGTATATGATAATAAGCTAATGGAGTTGGTTCTCAATCGAATACTTTGCTATACTACGTACGGAGTATATCTCAATCGACATATGGCAAACACTTTTTTTTATAAAGTTGTAAATTTTTCATTTTTTATTTTTATCAAAATGTATCAAATTAAAATTTGATATGTGGCAAATAATTCCTTCTTTTTTTTATACGAGTAAAATGTTACTAGTATAACTTTTTCAATTTTGCGCCTATTTTTATAAAAGTTATATCAAATTAAATATTTTTTTTATGATCTTTTATATGACACCAATATCATATATGTAAAAATTAAAAAAAAATGCCGGGTCTGGTGAACGGCCGATAAATGTATATTTACTACGTATTATTATTTAAATCTAGTCTAGTCTGATTTGATTTAATTTGCTTGAATCTGTTTGGGTCGAAATCGGTTCAATTAAAAACATTCTAAATAGTATTCAAATCCTAAATCTAGTCATGTAACATATATGGCCGTAATGCCGAATCAGCATAGTGTCGGTGGAGTTTTAAAAGGTGGGGCCCTCCGCCTTTGAAATTAGTCAAACAAATAAAATGAAGATAATTAGTTTACTAGAATTAACAATGTTACATATTCAAATATATAATTCAATATAGAACTATAAATGAAGATAAATTTGGTTTGATCTGGGATCGAATGCATCTCAATTAAAAACATCCTGGATATTGTCATATCGAAGTTAGACAATATTATTCAACATAATGATAAATGAATATATATATATATATATATATATATATATATATGACCATCAAAGTATTATCATATATTGTATACAACAAACTTAATGAAACACATAAAAAGAAGAAGAATTGAGATACAGATAGTGGGGCAGATGAATACCTCGTAAGCCTGAAAATCAAGGGTACTATTTTTTAGATAATTTTAAGATTCATCCTCCATTGTATAAGAAGATTGTAAAAAAAATCATAAGAGCATTAATAATGGGTTACAAATATTTATATAATACATAGTAGTTGTTTGATGGTGGGTAAAAAGTGTAATCCTGAATTCATGATTATATTAGGAATTTGAGTATGTTTCAAAGATAGTTACGTTACTTTTTAGAAAAGATGTTTTACACAAAGTTATAGGGAATATTTTTTAAAAAAGATTTTTTAGGAAATATTATAATTTTTTTTAAAGAAGCATTACAAGGACTCAAGGAGGGCTTTTAAAAAGAGGAGGGAGATAAACTTCTAATGTCGGAAAAGTGACAGAAAAGTGAGTGGTGCGCCTAGCACCATTCGTAATATCGGTGGATTGCTGACTAAGGACATCCTCGTCCATTTTTGACAAAAAAATCGGTGCGCCTAATAGTATGGGTGGTGTGCGGAGCAGGCCTATATACAAAAGGAGAAAAAAGGAACAGTGTTCCCGCCCAAAGAGTTGTTTACAAAACGGGTCGGGTCGGGTTTTAACAAAAGGCTAGCAGTTGCACATGGAGTGGAAGGCAGGAACGGGGCTCCATAAAGTGCTGCAGTCCATTAATTATGTGTTGTCCTTTAATTTATTTTTTAATGGCAAATTAAAGAGAACTTTAAATGAATTGTACTCCTGATTTGATATTGGCCGAAGGGTGATTTGATATTGGCCGAAAGGTGTAATAGGCAATTGCAAAACAGCTGTCCTTTAAAAGGTGTGCCGTAATACTATAGTACAAATTTGTTGTCATACCAGGTTATTGATCATTGGTTAATTTGGTACATCTATTCTAAGCAGCTCTAAGATCATGGTATAATAATATAAATACTATAGTACGAATTTGTTGTCATAGTAGGTTATTGATCATTGGTTAATTTGGTACATCTATTCTAAGCAGCTCTAAGATCATGGTATAATAATATAAATACGTCCAATTTCATTACATGGGCCTCCCAGAGCTGCACATCATACCAATGGAGCTGAGAGTGGGAGTTACTCTGAGGTTTGACCGTATTTTAGGAGATGAGAGAAATTAGATGCAATTTTCCAGTATGAAGAGGTATGTTGTCATTATTATGTGCTTAAAACTCTTACCTGAAGCTTATTCAAATAGAACTTGTCGGGGTTTCGGCAGTATTCATCTAAGTTAAACAATCACCAAGATTTGAAGAAATAGGGTATTGATGATACAAGTAATAACTTGCAACCAACACATAGGTAAGACTCAATCTCTATAATTAGTTCTTAACTTTGCTATTATTTTGTATGCTTTCTAACAGTTTGATAAACACAGTTGTTATTGGTATAATTATGGGAAAGCATGTTTCTCAAACACATAAAATCAATGGCAACAACATAAGGGGTATGACTTCTATCAGCCAAATTCTATCAGCAACCAACAAAGCAATTGAATTGAGAGGGACAGTTGTAGGTGCCATTGAAGTTCGTACGCATCAAAGGGGTGGGAGAACTAAAACAAATCCATGAAGAGGTGTATGATTTCTCTTTTACAACACTTTTTAAAAACATGCAGAAAATGCAGGTCTTCAAAGTTATGTTCAACTGAGGCTAACATTTACTAATATTGACAGGTCAAATGTAAATATGGATCAACAAGTAATCAATGACAATCTACTAATTGGTGAGCCCATTTCTCTGCGAACAGTTGTTATTACAGTTGTTTTTTCGTTTGTTTATATTGCATATTTTGTATGTTCTCTTGCAGGATTTATGGTAAAACATATAGAGTAAGAGGCTGTGCAGCACAATCAACATTAAATGATAGCAGTGTGTAAAGGAAAAGCTCAAATACAATAAAATAGTTATAGATAATAGGTAATATTTCAATATTTATTATAATATATATATATATATACATTAAAATAGTTATACTTCAAGAGTCACTTATGCAATTCATATTTGGTTTACCGAAAATATTTGGCAAATTCATCCATTTTATGTATGTCGCAAACAAATCAAAAAATCATACATTGTTGACTGATACGTACCACAGAAGCACATATCTTGACACATATCTTGACATGTTTCTTTTGTTTTGAAAAAATCATCACTATTAGAAGGATGTATTTAAACAACTCAGGAAAAATAAAATACACATATATTATATAGTAATGCAGAGTTATTTATGGTATGCACATCAAATGAAAACTTGGTAGAAAGATCAACCAAAAACAGCTTCTGTCCTAAGCTTAGTTAGGAACTAAACAATATTGGAGTTTAGATTATAAGAATAACTAATGAAAAACTGATATGGCTTCTAAATAAAAAGGTAATCAGACACATAAATACCTATTTATATTGGTGTTTAGATTATAAAAATAACTAATGAAGAAACTGATATAACTTCTAAATAAAAAGGTAATGAGAAACATAAATAGCTATTTTATGGCTTCCCAATAATAACAACCTATAAGAAACTGAAATTATTTAAACCATAGTGTAATAGCTATGGCTAATGACAAACTGAAAATACCTTAAAACATATAATAATAGGCTAAATATGAAAGAAAATCCAACCAAGGACAATCACTTCTGCTGCCTGATAAAGAAATTATAAAAACGATATCTTCTACTGTAAATAGTTGTAAAGAGGACAGTTTCAAAAGCAAATAGCTGGTTTTAAATTCTACATGAGTATTGGCCTTTTGTTTTCAAATTCAAGCTTCAATAAATGGATAATAGCTTCCAGGTTATTAATTAAACTAGCTTACTATCTACTAAACTAGCTGCTAGGTAAGTACGTAGTAAGTTGCAAAAGTATAGCTTTTACTGCATAAGCTAACCATTTATTGTTAATCGAAAGAGTTGATAAGCTCCTGAAATTGGCTTAAAAGTCCAACTCGTGAATGAGGATATACATGAGTGATTGAGAAGCGCTAAGAGATAACAATTTGGCTAAAACTATTTCCACAAAATGTGATTATATTCAGAAAATGGGTAAAAACACTACTTGATTTTGAACATATACCAACTACTAAAAATGTAACAATTAAGAATCCGATTCCAAATTATAAAACCGAATAAGATTTTGCAAAATGAAAAATCAAAATAAGACGGTAGACAGAGGATTCTCTATTGTGAGAATCAATGGATTACAAGCGCTAAAGATGGTAGATATTTACCTCTTACAATGATCGATGATATGGTGGAAGATGGGAGGCGAGAGCTTCGTTGTCTCTCTTAGGATGTTCGCGGAATGGGGATTGGGGCAAATTAGGAGTATTCATGCCTAGGTTTTTTGGGTGGGTACCGGGTAGAATAGATTGGGTTGGGCTTTAACTAAAAATGGTTGTGTTGGATCATCTTTTAGCTGGATTGGGCTGGATTGGGTCCTGAATGTATAGGCTTCCACTCACTTAATTGGAATTCGGAGAATTCTATTCACAGCCCTCATATTACTAAACACAGTCCCAAATTAAATATTAATAATTAAAATTATTTAAATATCTAATTTGCCCTTTTAATAATACATTCACCCGGTTCTTCATCTCAGCCCACGACCTCTCATCCCTTCCGCAAGTTGCTCCAATCCTCTGTACCCAATCGTTGAAGCTATAGTTCACACATCTCTTCTACTTGGTACGAAACATCGGACCTCTAAGAGCACAACACACACTCTCTTCGCAGTCTTTGGTCAGGAATTTCCTCTTCTCTAAATAGACGACATCAGGATGGTCGATTGAATCATCGAGGACTTTTCCGGTTCTGTTGAGATCGCCCCTGATTTCATCATCAGAGTTAATTTTTTGAGGGACTGTCTAAAAATGAGACAATAAATTATAGAAAGGACTCAATCAAAAATCTGGTCGATGGATATTGCTAGCCATATTGTTGGTGAA